AAAGTATGTTAAGAATATTATTATAAATTGTATTTCAATTAATAATAAACATATTGTTGAAAGCAATTTGAGTTCATTGACACCAAAACACAGAATATTCTGTATATAAAAGTGTTATAATAAAAGCCATCACTTAATGGTTCGCGCAGTGAATCTCATACTCTGTTGAATGTGTTTTCGTACTTCTCTTTAACCATATCTTCACTCAAACTCTTGAGAACCGCTTATAATAAACAAGATTTTAATCAATTATTGGATATATAAAACTTATTTCATTTTAAGGCAAAGTTTGATGAAAAGGATTATAATTTTGTTATCGAAAGCAATGAAAATAGTTTTGCAAAAAGACTTTTAATCAATGAATTCGAGGGAATGTGTTATATATTAGACGAAAATGATAAATTGTGGATCAATTAGAAGACCGTTTCGAACAATTCGGACAAATGAAAGGCAATTTCAAAGAAGATATGGAAGAAGAGAAACAATTATACTTTTGGGGATCTATTAGTAAAAAGTTTCTCAAAACCAAACAAACGAATAAAAATATTAAACGGATTATTGGATATACAAAAGAAGGTATGATTAAAAATTAACTAATAATTTAAAGTTATATATGAATTATAATAAATATCTAAAGACTTTATTTAACTGAAAAAAAAACTTTATTTATTTCAAGGCATTGGTTTTCATTTGGCATTAATTTCAAATAATAATGGATATGAATATCGGTTTGGATTCCTATTCCACAAAAGGGGACATCTCTTAAAACTCACAGATTTATCGCTTAATAAACAAAACTTTGAGGAATTAAATGATAAAAAATTAATTCATTTTAAGACAAAGTTTGATGAAAAGGATTATAATTTTGTTATCGAAAGCAATGAAAATAGTTTTGCAAAAAGACTTTTAATCAATGAATTCGAGGGAATGTGTTATATATTAGACGAAAATGAGACACAAATACAGGAATGCATTAAAAGCTGTAAATCCTTAACAAATTATTAGTGAAGTAAATGCAAAACTCGTTGAATTGAGTGAAGTTTTAAGGGTTTAAAAACTGCATGAGTTTTATAGGAATCCAAACCGATATTCATATCCATTATTATTAGAAATTAATGCCAAATAAAAACCAATTATAATAAAAATAACATTAAAACTAAAAGCAATCAAAAGAAAAGTTTATAAAAACACAAAATTCACATCAAAACCATATTTAAAAGTGTAAACACAACACAACACCCACTCATTGACAACCCCTACACACGTAATATATGGACACAACTGAACGCATACTCAACACAGGGACAGAGACTACACAAATCAATACAATCAAAGCCAAAGCACTCACACAACACACACAATACCATTACGGGTAACAAAACAGTCACACAATTATCGCACGTTATTTATATACAACACAAAAATCTCGTGCAAAACACTAATATAACATGAATACAGCTGTAAATACTGTACAGAATATTATGCACAGAATATAACACTAGTTAACAGTATTATTACATAACCTTCACGTCTCCTCTGCTTTATGCATGATATAAGCGATTGTTATTTAAATTATAGCATTAATTGTCGATCAGTTTATAACTGTTATAAACGGTATCTTACATTTGGTTAGCACTACTTAATTGTATTATAGTTGTAATGTCGAAACCAGTGATTTTTGTGATAGGAGGCCCAGGGTCGGGCAAAGGCACCCAGTGCGATCGCATTGTCAAACAGTTTAGTTGTTTTATTAATTAAATCCTATTATTTGTATTTGTAATGCATTTATAGTTTTACATGTATTTTCAATGTCTGTTTTATGTCATTAATTATTATATAAATAGTTGTCAAACAAGTGTTTTATAATTTATAACATATTGAATGATATGTAAATGTAGTGATAATGCCATGAATTGAATGCCCGCTTACTCTTGTCTATTAGGTATGGATTCACACACTTATCGACGGGTGATCTGCTTCGGGACGAAGTGGCCTCGGGTTCAGAGTTGGGCAAAAAGTTGAATGAAGTGATGAAATCGGGGAAATTGGTGTCCAATGAACAGGTGTTGGCTTTGCTCAAGAATGCCGTTCAGAAGAAGTCTTCCACTTCCAAGGGATTCCTCATCGATGGCTACCCGAGACAGGTATAGCACATCTCTGCGAAGATGGCCACACATATCACCCCTTTATAACATCTCTCTCTCTCTCTCTCTCTCTCTCTCACTCAACATTTTACATAAAAACAAACTCATTATTAGATGTGATGTCTATTTGGCATAAATTCTGCCGTTTTGTACATATATTTAATATTCAATGGCAGAGAATAAACCGCAAATATTACAATAAGTAGAACATTAATAATAAGTTTATACTGAATATAA